CGCGTGCACCGCGGGGCGGAGCAGGCGGCGGCGGGGGTGCGGATCAACGAGTTTCACGCACTCAACACGTGGGCCGCATATATACACCCCGGGGCGGCGCTGAAGATGCAGCAGCTCTGGGACGGCGGGAACGACCTGGTGCGTGCGCGCGGCTCGCAGCCGTGATTCTGAAGCTCCAGGATAACCTGCGGTGGGGCCAGCACACTGCCGATTGCATGTTGACCCGTCTCTGGGTCGCACATGACACCCAGTGAAGAGTTGAGTGCTCGTTTTTTGCGTGGCCGCCAACAGAGTGCCTTGACCGCCGCCTGACAACCAGCAACCGCCCCTACGACTTCCAGATCAGCCTGCTGGACGACAAGGCATGGGACATACTGAGCCAGCTCGACGCGCCGGAGGTGGTGGGGCTGGTGGACGAAGCCGGCGGGAAGCTGGCGCACGGCGCGATACGCAACATCAACGCGTTCATCATGGTGGGCCGCTTGCTGAAGCATGGGCAGCTGTATTTCGTGCCTATCCCTACCATCGTTTGGGCCAACCACCCCCGCATGGCCCGAGGGCCCGTAATATCGGGTCATGCGGGGCCCTAGCAGTCGTTTGAGGCCGCAAAAGTGCGCCAGCCCACGGCGGCCGCTGCTGCCGGTCCTGCATACGCCCACTCGGGCGCGCTCGGCCCGCGTCGCGCGCCGTGGCTCTAAGCGGGCCTCTTCCAGCGGCCAGGGCTGGGGACCGGGACAGGGCCGCTGCGAGGGGGCGCCACGACTTCCAGGGGGCACTGGCCTCTTCCTCACCCCTTTCCTGGCGCAGGCGCGCCCCGGCTGTGTCCATGCTTTCTTACATTGCACAAACGCGCGGCTTCTTCTCGCAGTCTGTCGCCAAGCGGATGTTGACAGAGCAGCAGGCCGCCCGCGGCTACGGCGGCGGCGGCGGCGGCGGCTTTGGACCCTCCCCCTCGCCGCAGGCGTGGGGGGGCGGCGGCGGCGGCGGCGGGTACGGTGGCAGCGGCGGCGGCGGCTATGGCGGCAGCGGCGGCGGGGGCAGCAGCGGCGGCGGGGCGCTGCACTTATTCCCTCCCCACATCAGGCACGAGGGGGCGCGCCCCGCCGCAGGGTGATGGTCAGACCGCGTGCGTTGGCGCTCCGCCTCCTCCCCCATCCTTGACCTGCACGGCTGTGCGCCCGTCTGCCACCCCCCTGATCCATCGTTTCCCCGGAACAATCATTACCATTATCCACCCTCTGAACACCCAATCCCGGTCCTTGCGTCATCTTGAACCCTGAGCCCTGCGCCCCAGTTGCACCTACGCCCTGGCTGACCTCTTTATCGCTTGCCATACCACCTCGATGAAATCAGGACTGTCGTTGAGGAGATGTGTGAGAGGCACCAGCCCTACCTCCAACGCCACCACTTTGACGAGAGCGCGGTCTCGGTGAGCAGACGGCCGCAGGCGGTGCGCGGGCCGCGCGTTCTCTTCGCCGTGTCCTCCGCCGGCCATCGGCCACGGCTATGGCTGTCATGGGAGGGGGGCTGTATGTGCTTGTCGCCTCGGCTTGGCCGTTTCGATGGCCGACTGTCGGGGCGGCGGAAGGTGCCGGTGGGCGGATGCCTCCGAATGTGTGTCCATCGGGAGGCAGGGCACCGCCACAGCCCTGCGCCCGCGGTACAAGGGTGTTCATGTTCGCCGCCTACGGCGGCCGGGGCGCGGGGAGCCGCGGCGGCGGGCTGGCCGATTAAAGCGGAGCGGGCGGCCGGGCCAGATCAAGGCCGCGGCGCATATCGAGCCCTTGCCCTCGCGCCGCCCATTATCTCCTGCACTCCCGTTATCGACCACCCCGCTCGCACACGCACGCGGGGGCGGCCGCAGATGCTCATGCGCCTGGGGGAGACTGACGCGCTGGCTGTGCTGGGGGAGCTCGACACCACGCGCATGGAGTCGGTGGGTGGGGGGCGCCTCGGCCCGCGCGCGGCTGAGGGCCATGCTCGCCCCGCCCGGGGCCGCGGGCGCCGCCGCCGGCTGGGGCGGGGCGCGCACGGCGGGAGGGTGCGTGCGCGCCGTCGGCAGCTTCCTGGCAGCAAGCGAGCAGGCACGTTGGCCACAGCCTGGAGCCGGCGCCACCCGCTTGGTTGCTCCCATGCTTGGTTGATCGCGCGGGACACTGCTGCGCCATGCAAGCCGCCCCGCCCTCTCACACCCATCCCTTTTGCCTCAACTCCCAATCCAGGTGCGGAGCATGCCTGCGTTCATCATGGGCTGCGCAAAGCGCTACATGTCTCGGAACAGCGGGTTTTGACCGGGTCACCGGGTCACTAGTTACTTGCGGTGGCGGGTGACGCTGCACGCATGCCCTGGGGGCACGCCGAGCAGGGCAGCGGCGTGTAGGGCGCGAGGGATGCGCGGCGAAGGTTGGGCTGCGTTGCCGACTGCCTGGCCTAGAGGTTGCAGGTGTAACCGTACAGGTTCTGAAAGCAGGATGGTCGGGCGGGTTACACTGCGGGATTCTGGGTGACCGCAGCGTACGGCCGCGTGAGTGAAGGGTCGCTGTTGCCCGCCTGGAGGAGGCCCGCCGGGCAGTCTGCTTTGCAAATGCGGTTCTGAACGGGCGGTGGGAACGGACGGGGGCTGGGTTGCGGAAGGGAAGCATTGAGGTGCGGGAAAGAGGATGCAAGGGGCGCTGACTGGGCCTCAGGGGGGATGGGTCCCACATAACTTCTAAGATCTTCAATCGGGAGACTCAAAATCGACATGTTACCAAGGTGCAACAGGGGTGGGCAAGAGCGAGGAGTGCTGCTCAAGTGACTGATGCAGTGCCTGAGTCAGATTACCCGGCATGCAGGAGAGCAGTGCATCTTGCGCGGATTGGGCATGCATAAGACTCTTTGTCAGAGGCGAGCTGGTGCAATCACGGAGGTGGCTGGCGGCTGCTGTTGGCCTTTGTTTTGAGGCAACCAGGCAGCTCACAAAAAATTCCAACTCTTGATCTTGGCGACACAGTCATCAGTGCGTTTTAAATTGTCCACATTCTTTTAATATTCAGCCCAGGCAGTGGCACAGACACATTTGGGGGGACGGGTGCGGCTGCGCGTCGCTGCTGCTACGGGCGAGTCAGGTGACCGTGAAGTGGCCAGCCAGACACGGATTATCCTCCGCCTGGCCCCCGGGCCCGGCCGCGCTTGTCCCCAGGCGTTGCGGCATTGTGGTGACGAGGCGCGCAGAATCCGTTGGGGCGGTCTGGCAGCCGGTGGCCGGCCTTTGGGCGCACGCGCGGCGCACACCCAGCGTCCTTGTGAGTGCCATCTTCCGAGCGTTGACCATTACCCCCGCCCTGCTTTCCATACAGGAAAGCCATCTGGCAGAAGCTGCCGGTCTTGTAAGGCTTTGATGCATGAGCCAGGTAAGATTTCCTCTGTGCGCTGCCCTCATTATCACCTGAAGGTGGTGAGCGCAGGCTCTTCCCTTACCTTCCCAGCCACGTCCGACCACGCGGCTGGGTGACGGCGGGCAAGGGACCCGACCACCCCGCGTCAGGCATGACATCGTAAAACCATTCTTTGGATTCGAAACGAATGATCTCGACCCACTCGCGGACCCTCGCAAGCCGGCTCTAGTGAACGCGATGAAAGTCGTCGCTGGAAACTCCGCTCGGGTTCATCCCGGCGTGCGACTGTGAGGATACGATACACCGACATGCACTCTGTCATGGGCGGCGGGGGAGCCAGGGTGCACTCACGCAGGGCCAGGGCTGCCGCAGCCGTGCCGTTCACGGTGCTGGTGCTCGTCGCCCTTGATTGCTGCGGCAGCGGCGGCGCCGCCGCCGCGCGCGTGGCGGTTATAGGGGACTATGGTTTCGGTGACGCTGGCGAGCAGGCAGTGGTGCAGCTGATCAAAGCATGGGACGCCTCAACCCCGTTGGTGAGCTGACTTGCGTACCAGCCCGGCCATGATCAACCCCCACAAACCGAATTGCCGTCCCCAGGCAGACCCTGCCTTTGTCGCCCGCACTTGTTGCCAGCACCTAAGCAGACCGCGCGCGATTGCGCGAGCCAGCTCGCTGCCTCCCAGCCCTCCAGGCCGCCGCTCCGCGCCCTCACACCCCGCCCGTCCTGCAGACGGCGGTTGCCACTCTGGGCAACAACAACATGCCGGGCGGGCTGCAGAGGAACATAGCGGCGCGCGTAGGGGGTTTCTACGGCTGGGCCATGGCCCCGGCCCCCAACAACAGATTTTGGCCGTCCCCAGGCAGCCACGTGAGCCGGCCCGACCTCCCCCGCTGCGTGCTCCTCGCCGGCGGCCAGACAGACGCGTTGATGGGCGGGCTGCTGGCGCCGTGCGCCTGGAAACGTTCAGCGGCCCGTTGAATGAGCCTTGCTGCCTCACATGCCCTCCGCAATTGCTTCGCAGGACTGGGGCAACCAGTGCGGCGACGACACGCGCCTCAAGCCCTACCTCGACTACTTCGCGGCCATCGGCGTCACCCAGAGCGTGTATGACGTCAGGGTGACGTCAGACATCCACCTGTTCATGCTGGACTCGGACTGCAACGAGCCCATGGGGCGCAACTCGACGTCGCAGCAGGCGGACTGGCTAAAAGGCGCCCTGGCCGCGTCGGACGCGCCCCTGAAGGTGCGTTGCCGGCGCTGTTGATTGCGGTCTGATGAGGCTGAAGTTGTGAGCGAGGCGCTGATGCTCTTGCGTGCCGCGTGCACAAGCGCCCTGTCCATCTCTTGCTGCCTCGTTTTTGGGGGCCGGCTGTTCAGCCTGCAATTGTGCTCCCAACACCGGGCGGCCGCCTTCACACACTCCCCCCCGCTGAATCGACCGCAAACGCCATTGATGCTGGACCCCCCAGTTGGTACTGCTGCACCACGCCCCATTCTCTTCCTCTCTCTACGGCTCCGACCCTGAGATGCAGTGGTGAGTCGTGACTGGCCCAAGAACTGCTGTGTGCCTGAGGGTGCCGCCACAACCGCCTGCTTGATCCGTTGGGGGCCCTCGCCAACAGCGGTGCAAGCATTGGCACCCAAGCCACCGAATCTCAGCACATTCCAGTAACCGCTTCCTGTGATTTGGTTGGCGCCTTGTTGCTGTTGGTTTGACACAGGCCGTTTGAGGAGTGGGGGGCGGACGCCGTCCTCGCGGCCCACGACCACACGTACGAGCGGCTGCTCAACCCTCGAGGCCTTGCCGGCCGTGACGGCTTTCCCTACTTTGTCAACGGCCTGGGTGAGGCAACAGCATGGGAGTTCAGCGGGCATGCTCTCTGGGCCCCTCTGTCGCCACGCTCATCAATCAGCCCGTGCCTGCGCGATGGGCGATGCAGCCCAGTGGCCGGCATTAGGGCCCACCCTGCCCTGCCGACTTGGCTTGAGAGCTGCGACGGGGCCCTGCCGTCTCATGCCATGACTGATTCACATTGACATGTTGTTCCTTGCATGTCTGACATACAATCTGCAGGCGGCGCGCCGAGGTTCCCCTTCAAGAGTATCCTGCCTTCCTCCAAAGCCCGCTACAACGGCAAGAACGGCGCCATGCTGCTCACCAGCCGGGCGGTGACGAGCGGTGACGTCATCCGATACGAGCTGGACGTCGCTTTCTACGCTGCTGGCGGCGCCGCTGGCGGCGGGGGCCCTGGAGCGGGCGCAACCGCCGCCGCCCCCCGAGACTGCTACCGGATCATCAAGACAATGGGGGCCTCGCTCGGGGGCGTCACCACCACATACGCGGCTGGCTGCCCGTCGGCGGGTGACGAGTTCTCGCTACTGACTAATCGTCTGGCGTTCCTTTCCGCCCCGTCGCCGGGGCAGGCGTGGTCGTACTACGTTGGAGGCAAGCTCCCGCCAACCTCAAAAAGTGGTGCAACCTGGGTGTCTGTGGGCTTCGATGACTCAGCCTGGCCGTCGGGCCCGGCGCCACTCGGCTACGGCGCGGACCCCCCGGGTGGCTCCGGATGGGCCACCGCCCTGGCAACCAACACGGCGGCCTCGGGGGCGCGCTATTACTACCTGCGAGCGCTGGTCTGTCTGTCGATTGAGGCAGCGGCCCAGGTGTGTGTGGAGATGCGGGTAGGGGAGCCGGGCCGGGCCTGCCGTTCACACGCCCGGCCTCTTTCCAGCCTGCAGCCGACTTGACCGACCTCACACACCCGAGATTGACAGCTGCCATATGCATTCAGTCCTCCTCGAGCCCTCTGCGTCGGTCAAACACACACCCTTCACG